AAGATATAAAGGATTGAAAAACATCAAGCCCCCAAATTCAAAGACCCTCTTCAAAAATGGGCATCGGAGATGAACACATATTTCTCAGATGAAGACATACAAGTGGCAAATAAATGCATGAAGAAATGTTCACCATCACTGGTCATTTGAGAAATGCAAATTAAAACAACACTGAGATATCATCTTACCCTGGAAAGAATGGCTACCATCAAGAAATCAACTGATAACAAATGTTGGCGAGACTGAGGGGGGAAAAAGGAGCCCTTCTCCACTGTTGGTGGGAGTGTAGACTGGTGCAGCCACTGTGGAAATCAGTATGGATATTCCTCAACAAACTAGGATTGGAAGTTCCATTCAATCCAGTTATTCCCTTCCTGGGTATTTTCCCAGAGAAATTAAACAGGTCATGTCACAGTGATATATGTGCACCCATGTTTATAGCAGCACAATTTGTAATAGCTAAATCTTGGAAACAATCAAAATGCCCATAAACCGCAGAGGGGATGAAAAAGATGTGGTGTTTTTATACAATGGCATATTACTCAACTATAAAAAAGGATGATCTTGAGGCCTTCATAGGTAAATGGAAGCAACTTGAGACTATCCTTATAAGTGAGATAAAGAAGACTCACATTAGTAAATATCACATTGTCTCTGTATTGTAAAAAGTAATAAAAATTAATAAGGTCCAAAATGTATAATAGATAGTGTAAAAATGAAAGGGAAGGAAAATGCTCTAAAGAATATAACTGTATGTATAATTGTGTAAGATGGATGATCATATTACTAAATTTTTGTTGGATCATTGAACAGAATGGTTTTCACTGTTAATGTTTGAGTGTCAATCCACTTTCTATGCTTTGATTTTGTAACTTGAACAACTATTTCTAAGATGAGAATGTGTAATTTATCAACTAGTGATTTCTTAGTGTCAATTTTTTTGAATTCTGTATCATTCTACCTTTTTTCTATTTTTTCCATCTTTTTTAAATAAAAGAAAATTCAGAATATTAGCATTTTAGTTCAGGCTCCAGTGTTTCAGATTGCATCATCCTCTTATCTATAGCTTAGAGTTTCTTAAAACCTCCTGGTTCATATATGTTATATGAATTTCCCAGGGAAACATAAAAGAAACATCTACCTCCAAACTGAGAGGACATCCACAGTCCAAAGAGTGATTTGGAAAAGTCCAGCTCGGTGAACAACTAAGTGTATGAGGAGTTACTAGCAGAGCACTGAACAACCTATAGGCTGTAGCATTATAGAGGCTGCCAAACTCGTGTGTTAGGCTACTGGTTTTATAAGCATCTAACTAAAAGTTGTGTGTACTCTGTTCTTAGCACATCGTTATCAGGAAACTCCCTTGTTACTTAGTACTACAGTGCTTACTGTCAAACCACAGTGATGGATGACCCTTGTGCTGCTATCTGTAACACAGCCTTACCACCTGTCCAGGGACCACCCCAAAGCTCAACTGTTGGGGTCTGTGCCTAGATCCCCAACCCCTCAAATGAGTGCATGGTAAAGAGCCAAAGGAATGAGACAAGCAGCATGATCTTTAGGGCTGCAGGAGGACAAAAATCCTCTGCAGAGTTCATAACTCTGCCAGCCAGCAGACCAACTGACCCTGGGCAGCCTGTATTTAATCAGAACAAGCAAGGAGTTGAGTGGAAAATGCAGGAAACCTAAGCAGGATCTTGGGAGAGGTTCAAGGACCCCTCAGAACAACAGACAATGCTAATTAAGGAAAACTACCCAGAAAGTCTCCAGGTGGCCTCAGCTGTGGCCTATCTTGCTCCCTGAGGTGTCTCCTCATTCTCAGTTTAGCCACACCCAGATCACGCCACATCCCTGCACGTGTACTCAGCTTCAAGGGCTCCAACACTCAATAGGGGTTATCTCAACCATTTCTCATCACTAGGCACAGCACCTTAACCCATAGTTTATAGGAGGAAAGTTTTATTTTGGTTCCCAGTTCCAGACTATGGCTGGCTGGCTCTGAAGCAGAAACAGCATAATGGATGGGCATGGTAGAGGAAAGAAGCTCAACCCATGGCAGTCTTGAAGAAGGGAGAAAAGGAAGAAGCCAGGGACAAGAGCTCACCCTTCTAGTCATGCCCCAGGGCCGTCTTCTTCCCACCAGGCTCTGCCGCCCTATAGCACAGTCAGCCACTGAACAGATGAGTCTGCTAATGAATATAGAGCCCCATGATCCAATCCCTGCCAAACACATGAGGTATTTGGGAGACATTTTAGATCTAAATCACAACAGGGGCCCACTATAAAACCAACTGCTTTCGCCCACAGTTCAGAGCATAATTCTCACCACAGTGTACTTAACTACCACTGGCGAGGTAAGATGTACAATCAAGACAAGAGTGTGTCAGTGTGGGGTTTAGCCTCCAGATTCATGGAGCGAGAAAACTCATTGGCTGCACCTCACTGGGAGAAGAGTGGATAGAACGACAATGGGGAGCAAATTCACTAACATGTTCACATGTATTGAAATGATAATAGTTATTTACAGACCAAAAAAATTGAAAACATCCAATGACTGAAAAAAAAAAACACCTCAATATTTGACACCTATAATGACATTCTACTGATAGAAACATTGCTTTTAAATAAACGTAGCAGTGGCTTCCAGAATGTCACCTTTCCCCTGACTGAGTCAAAAGGGCTGGGTGAAGGGTTTGGGGGAGACTGCAGGTCAGCATTTGAGAGGAGTAATCAGGCCCTTAGCGCTCAGCCTGGGTCAGTAAGGTGCAGTGCCCTGTTAGCCCCAAATCAGAAATGGAAACATCTCAGTTTACTCTTTCCTATCAATGTGCAGAGTTCATCGGCGCCCATACTTTCTATGGCTCCACTTTCTTCCTCATTCCCTCCTTCTTTCATTTTGGTATCATCTGAGATTTTTGTTCTACTTCGTTGCGAACTCTTTGGAACTTTGTATTAAAATCCATTTAGCTGTACCTGCGAATTTGACCTAGCAGGTCCAATCATTGTTGCCTCTTTTCCCTAGTGTTTTTAAAAAATTCATCCTGTAGACGCTTTATCTTTCTAGAGAGAATATAGGCATACAAATGGGCAGAGTCTTTGTCTGTCTTAGAATAATTTTTTGTAGCATTTGACCTGCCGAACAGCTTGTTAACATTTCACCTGTCACACAAGAGGTGACACCTACCCCAGTACCACGGTTGGTAGGTGGAGAGGTGGATGTCTGGAGGGTGAGGTGTTTGGGGCAGCAAGGAGCAGCTGGGATCTGAGGGAAATGGAGCCATGCAATTTTAGCTTCCTCTTATTTTCGTGGTTTTAGTCTCTTTTCTTCTGGAGCTATTACACAAACTCTGATATGGACCAGAGCCTCTTTTTGTTGTGGTATGGTTATTAGATTTAACAACTCACAATCCAGGCCACCTTTGAGACATGCTTATAGTAAAAATTCACTTTTATATTTCTTTTAGGGGGAGAAATACTGGAGACTGACTTTATACTGAGCTCCATCCTCAGAACTTATTTTTCTATTTTGAAACAGGGTCTTAGTAAGTTACCAGGTTGCCTAGGCTCAAATTTGGGATCCTCCTGCCTCAGCGCTGGGTTTGAAGTTGTATACCACCATATCCTGCTGTATTTGTTGCATTTCTGAAATTCAAATTTAACTGGTCATCTGGTAACTTTAGAGTTAACCAGTTTAGTTTTTGCTGTTCTCTCTCAAATTTCCTAGAATTTACTCCTTTATTCCAAAATGTCACCAGGCAGTTTCTGAGAGAGTATTCTACTGTTTGATTTTGTACCCCTTCACTCTGAAAACCCATGCTTTCCATTTGGGAACTTTTATCTCTGTTGCATGTTTGGTCTCTCTGTCTCCTTTGTCCTCTTCCCTCTCCCCAGCACTCTCCCTAAGTGTTATTTACCAGCTTAACCCTGTTGCTGCCCAAATAATGAGCAAGTGACCCTGCCCAGTCCAGTGAATGAGCCACTCTCACCTCCAGCTATGAATTATGAAATCAGCTTTAATAAACTTGGTGTCAAGAGGAATAAATTCTTTGAAGGATGCCACATTCCTGCAAGATGTACACTCTGGGTACCACCCTGACCATGTCTCTCTACATGGGCATGCCAGTCCTATGTCAGGAAGGCATTTTCTGGGCATTCTTTCTCCTCTCTCTTTGTCCTCTCTCTCTTTGTGCAAGTTTGTGTGTGTGTGTGTGTGTGTGTGTGTGTGTGTGTGTGTGTGTGTGTGTGAGACCTGTCTGTGTGGACAATTTAGTGTGAGATGTGTTTCTTCTGAGCTGGAGCATTTAGTGGCTAATATAAGACCCAGCAGAAGACTCATATGCTCAGATACCTGCTATGGTGTTTGATTGGGTCCCCCAAAAACTCATGTGTAGGGAACTTAGTCCTCAAATTCACATATTAATGACACTAGGACGTGGGGCCTTTGGGAGGTGATCACGATTAGAGGAAGCCATGAGGGTGGGCCCATGAGGCACTAGTTGCTTTATAAGAGAGGAGGAGAGACCTGAGCTAGCCTGCTTGCCCTGTCTCACTCTGTGTTGACCCTCACCATGTTGGGATGCAGCATGAAGTCTTCAGCAGGTGCTAGCCCTGGGCTCTTGGACTTCCAGCGTCCAGAACTGTGTACTAAATAAACTTCCATTATCTATAAAATGCTAGATCTCATGTATGTTTTACAGAAACTGAACATGGACTGAGACACCATGACAGCCAGTGTCCCAGAGGGTCTATCTGCTCTGCCAGCAGATTCAGAGTGGAATGATGCAGGAAGAGTGTCAACTTTGAGGGGCTAGGAAGCAGCAGTGAGAGGCAGACTCTGTCCATGGTTCTGTTATCTGGGGATGTTTGTTACTGTAGCAACGTCACTGAGGCATCCTGAGTGATACACAAGGAGGATGAGAAATCCCCTCTGCACTGTGGATCTACCCTGAAAGACACAGAGTCATTCTTATTTCATTTTTATTGACATCTGAGGAGGATGGACCTTGCAAGTGATTAATCCTGATCATTGATCGATTCACATGAAGCTTGGTCTGGATTTGGTGATGGCAAAGGTGGTCAGACCCAGAGAGCCCCAGTTTAGAAGCTTCTTCTACTGATGATGGAGCAGCCAACATCCTTGTACTCACTGCTGGTGACCCACATGTCCTTGAAAGTTGACAGAGAGGACAAGATGGAGCCACCCACCCAGGCACCATATTTGGCATAGGGAGAGGTGGCCACCTGGGAAGGGAGGGGGTAGAGAGGGGAAAAAACATTAAAACACGGCTCTAAATTGGGGCACAGATACCTACCCCCATTCACAAATAGTCATTTCTTCGTCCTGGAAAATATGATTAATTATTATGCATTAAAGTGAGCAATTCGCATCTACATCCTATAGTTTTGTTAATTTTTATTTGCTATTTTATAAGTTTGTGATGCATAATAAATACATTCATTGTGGGGAATCAGTACCTGTGGGCAAAATAGCCAAGGGCACAGAGGATTCATTGTAAAACAGAAGGCATTCTGTATTTTACAAAGACTATGCATTCAGCATATATATTTTTGTAGAAAAATTAGAAAACAGAGATGAAAAATATCAATCAGTCACCAAACCCCTTCTACCCCGCAGAGCAGAGCTTTCGAGACTCTGCTCCTGCTTTCATACTGCCCTCTGAAAAGCACACACTTCCTCTGAGTTCCATTCCAGGGCGGAGAGCAGCATTTCTTGTGTCAAGGAAAAATCTCCACATCCATTTGTCAGGAGCAGCCCCTGAGGCTGAAGAAGGTTAGGGTCACTTGCTCAAGGTCACTGCTCACTAAGAGTTTGTGAGGGACATAGGTATATAACAATAGAGCATCCTATTATTCTAAAACACAGGCAGCCAAGGCATCTCAGCAGGGTGGGAAAAGCTCTTGGGGGGTAGACAAGATGTACTCTCAGAATCTGTTCCCTGCCACCTGCTCTTGCTGGTCACCATGGTGCTGGGCTTGGAAACCACTTTCTGGTATGAGTTAAGAGAAGATTCCTTAGTATGACTTTAAGAGGAAAAAAAGAGAGATAAGGGATAAAGAAAGAATGTTTGGGGTCAACACTTCAGGCGGAAGAAAGAGCCAGTTGCCTGACACCTGGGAGCTTCTGCTCTACTTTTTCTTCTGTCGCCCTGGCCAAGCCATCTGCCCCATCTGTGTCTTATCTAACACACACAGAACCAGACAGAACTGGGGCAACATATGTGTTACAAAGGAGCAAGAATACCACAGGAAAATGGCCACAGGGTTGGAAGAGGCAATTACAAAAATATGTCTGAAAAGAAGAGAAAAGAACAACAAACAGTTTTTCCTATTTACTAGGATGGCAAAAGGATTTTGAAATGAAGTTGCATGGCTATTTCCACGGAGAATTTGGCCATACATTCAAAAAGCCTTGGGTTGTGCATGTATTTCTGGCTTCAGGAACTACATCTAGAAGTGGATTTGATGGGAAAGAAAACCCCTTCTTTAAAAGGGGAGTGAATAAGGACAAACATTTTTAGCCTAATAACATTCATTACAGCACCACTCAGGCTGCCAGGAGAAGCAGTTACAGGGACTCTTTGATGTACGGTGGAACATACATACCACATCCTGGTAACCACACTGTAAGGTGAAGACATTGCCTAAGTCAGAAATGCACAGAGCACACCTGGCCTATGGAGCATCCTAGCTCACCACACAGCAGGCTGCAGTGTTGCTGATTCATTCCTGGGAGCTTGGGGGCTGCCAGGGACCTTCCCTGCCCAGCTTTGAGAGAGAGAAGATTGAACTGCACAGCGTTGGCCCCAGAGACAGATCAAATTCAAAATTCCAAGTACAGTTTCCACTCAATGTGAATCACTTTCATTCCCCTGTAAAGTCAAACTATCATAAATTGAAACGTGGTAAATTGGGGGTTGTCTGTATTTGAAAAGTGGTCCCCATTGTAACTAGCTGTTCTCCCAAGGTGGATGAATTTGTTTTAGGGAGAGAATCCTTTTCTTTAGGTGAATAATTAGCCTTATGGATGATTGCAGGTGAATCTGCCTCCCAGGCTTTTCCAGACTTTGTATCCGAAAGAGATGAAGCAGAGAAGAGTTAAATTACCACAAAATTACAGGAAATGTGTCACCTCCGAGCTTCCCATGGAGAGAGATTTTTTGAGTGGGTAGGAAAAGTGTAGGGCACCTTGATGATGGGGAAGGTTTTGAAAGAGCTTGGTCCAAAATGCAGCCTGGCCATGTACTGGCTGGACAGACCTGGCCCGAGGGAGTCCCTTTACAAGCACTATCAAAAACTTACAATTTTCAATTTCAATTTGCTTTTTGTGCTGAACTAAGTGGAAACCTTCCTCTCTGATTTAGTAAAAGCCTTTCACACTAGAGCCTGAGGCCTCTGAGAGCAGAGAAGGAGCTTTAGGAAGATGGTAGATGCCCAGAGCTGGGGCTGAGGAATGAGAAGACAGAACCATGACCATTTTTCATTATGACACAAATGCTTCTTGTGACTTCACGTCAGATAATGTGGAAGAGGATGTAATCTTAGGAGGTGGGAAAACAGGTCAGGGAACAGTTGTCCAACATTATGTGAATTTTTGCAAATATAAGATGATATAAAGAATATTGATATAAAGAAGATCAGGAAACGAAAAAGCAGGTAGGGTACAGCTCTTGAATGTGAACAGGTGTGATGCTCTCTGGTGTGATGCTGAATATCAGTTGTAAACTTGATCGGATTGAGAGATGCCTGGGAAATTAGGACAGCATACTTTGTCTGTGAGGGAGACTTCAAACTGTGGGAAATGTAGGGTAGCAAACCGAAGGGGAACACTGGCCCTGAATATGGGTGAGGTAGCCAAAGACTAGGGACCACTTCCTCCACCATAAGCCTTCACCATGATGCTTTGCCTGGCCACAAGCTTAAGAACAAAGGAACCAGACAACCACGAACTGAAACCATGAACCAAATAAATTTTTCCTGCCTTAAATTGTTGCTCTCAGTTATGTTGTTGCAGTAATGGAATGTTAAAACTCACAGTATTTTATAGAGGTAGCAGTGTTGAGAAGGCAGGAAATGGAGGACAATTTTCCAGGGGACATCAGCAGCAGGAGCAGAAGATACACTGAGGACACATACAAGTCCCTCTCTGGGTCAGGGCCCTAGAGCACCCAGGTATGATCCTGGGAGGGGTAAGGATGTTGGATGATGGAACCCTCTCCACAGAAAGCTAGAGAACTGACGGTACTAAGCCAATGGATTATTTGCAGGACTTGGGGACATCTGGACACATCCAAGAATTTACACTGGACACTTCAAGGATTCTACCCACTGAGATGCAACACTTCTAGAAAACTTTGACTTCCAAAAAACTTTGATATCTTCCAGCCTAATGTCTTATGCCTTATATCTGTCTCTCTAAAAGGAACACACTTCTGTTTGGGGCAGATGGTCCTTCATGCTCTTTGCCTGAACCCAGCCAAAATAAATTCTATGCCATGTGACCTTTACACAAGCCTGGTGGCCTCTGATGGTCCACCTTTCCCCCTCCCCCATTACACCTTCTGCCTTGGACCCTTAATGGTATCCTTTGGGTGGCAGAAACAGAGGGAGAAGAGGCCACACATAGGTTGTGGAAGGGAGAAATTCTCTGAGCAAACCATGGACTCTCCTCTCTACCTGGCACCCTCAAGCCCTGCCCAAGGGAGGAAACAAGGTTCAAGTTAGCCGATAGGCATAGCAGTATCACTCTTGTGAGAGTCTTCCAGAAGCCAACAGCAGGAGACACGCCACCAGGTTGGCCCATGGAGCTGGCAGTAGTTGGAGAGCCAGCTGGTGAGGCAGACAGGACTTAGGGTCAGGTAAGCTCTTCTCACCTGCCAGTGGTCCCCCTCCTTACCCAGTGACTGTCCTCCATCATCCCCCATGACAATCTGCTCTCCCCTCTGGAGCCCAAGCCTTCAGGGCTTAGTTGAATTAAATCACTACTCTGCCTAAACCTTCCAACAGTTCCATTCTGCTTCTTCTAGGGTGAAAGAAGTCTTCTCCACATCCCTATCCTTGTCACTTACTTGGTCCTTGGTCATTCAGCCAGTGGTGCTCTTTGCCTTTCTCCTAAAAGCAGTCTTTGCACCATCACAAGCACTGCTCTCTGCCTGTTCCCTCTTCCCCAGTGGCCATACCCCTTGAGCAGAAGCACTCCAACAATCACTGCATCTCAGCACCCCACCCTCCCCCCACTGTCACCTCCTTACTCCCCAGCGTCTCGAAGTCCTTTCCTGCACATGGTGCCCCTCATGTTCTACAGTGTGCATCATCTGCTACTTCTGATTTCTAATGCTTTTGTTTACTGATGTTTCTCCAAGTGCCAGGACCCAAGCTTGGGTCATCCAAGCATTCTAGAAATATCTGCAGAATGAAAAAAGGAAGCTCCAGAGGGTGGACTGAGAGTATCGGACCTTCACTTCGATGGTAGGGGAGACCAATCCAATTAGTTCTCTCTGCAATCGTAATCGCAAGCCAGAGAAGGAGCCAGTGCCTCCGGACAGGATGATGTGGCTGAAGAGCATCTTCCAGAGGGCAGGGTTGCAGGAAGTGATGCATTGCATGGCCATCATGTGGATGCCCATGGTGCTTCTCCCTGTCAAGATGGGTGGAGAAAGAAGGAAATTTGAGGCTGGACGCTTGACCCATCATACTCCTGAGTTCTCTCACTTCCAATTGAAGGCCCTGGGTGGTGGTGACCCCTAGTCCTAGATAGCTCTGAGTGCCACTAAGACCATCATCAGCACCTCCCACCACGAGACTCATGTGGATTTCAACAAAATAGTGGACAGATGTTCAACCAACCAGAGCACTCCACTGTTCTCAGTCAGAGAAATAAATTCTAATTCTTCTCATTCACTGAGGGAATTTATGTTCCAATGTTACTGACAGATACTAACTCAGCAGCTCTCCATCCTGGGATATAAAGGACATGCCATTATCTCTCTAGAATATTGTTCATTGTGTCAATTTGAGAAGGTCAGAAATTTAGCTAAGTGATTCAGCAGGGTGTCAGGGTCCTTACTTTGTAAACATCCTCAGTCTATGCAAAAGGAGGGCCCAGAGATGGTGTGAGTGTTACACTCACCAGAGAGGTGTAGTCCGCTTACAATATAAGGGAGGAAAAGAGGCTTGCTCTTCTCCCTACTTTTGCTCTTGTTGCTTTGTTGTCTTCTGCCACTTGGAAGTATTGCCTCTGTGCCACGCCACCCTGCCTTGGAGCCAGCTGATTATGGACTGAAACCTCCACAAACTGTGAGCTAAATAAACCTTTCCTTCCTTAATTTTGGGTGTCATTTTATCTCAGCAATGAGAGAAAAGTAACTAAACACAACCCTTACGAATGCCATGGATTATTTTAAGAATTTGATTTCAGGGCACATTTTGTTTTCTGAGACTTCCTAGAGGCTTCATTTTCCCATTCAATTTACATTTTTTAAGAATTTGTCATTTTCCCTAATTAGCTAGGCCTGTCTGAGACTTAATCAACTTAACGGTCATTTGAAGTCTCTAGACCAGCCATATCTACTTGTCTGTGGAGTTTGCTTTTCTGCCTTAACTGTCTTGATTTTATATTTCTAATTATTGTGGAGTTATAAATAATACATAATTAAGAAGACCAGCAGCTCAATGTAGCTATAATCACACTTGATAAATGATTTAAGACGGGGTGAATTTCTTCCTCTGTAAAATGGGATGATACGGATTGGGCGAGAGAAGAAGGGGTCATAAGTACAAAGGTCAACAGAGTGACAGCTATATGCAGGTGATTAGGTATGTGACAGCTGATCCCTGAGGAAATTTTGAAATGGGGCATTTGCCTGCTACTCAAACCATGCTTCCTTCCTGGCTACCCACCATCTTCTTTTTGACCCTGCACTCCTTTGCTGGTGCTGGACTGACATCTGTCCCCTTATTGTGAACTCACCTATGAGGTTAGTCTGGAAGAGTGCCTCTGGACAGGTAAAAGCCCCCTCCCCAAGGCTGATCTTCTGGCCATCAGGGAGCTGCAACTCCTTTGGGCAGGAAGGTGGATCGTTAGCTTGCACCTTCTGCTTATCAAAGTCAAGTGTCACATAGCAGCATCTTTCTTTCACATCCCGGATGTACTCTCGGTCAGCTACCGGACAAAGGAGGAAGAAGGCATGAAAGTGGGGTGCACTGTGGTGAGGAACATACCAGCCCTTGCAGCTCTGTGTCCATATTCCTCTGGCTTTCTGGGGTGTCCTGGCCCATGCCAAATAGGGGACAGGTACAGGATAGGGAGGTAGCATATGGATGTTCTAAACTGAGAAGTGAGGGCTGGAAATGCTCATCACTTTATAGTTGAGAACTTACTACATATGGTGTGATATTTGGGGGGCTGGGAAATTAAACTCAACTTTGTTGTCTGCTGTGACAGGAGGTGCCACATGCTGCTTGCAGCTGTATCCTGATCTGGAGAAACATCAACAGTCAATCGACACCCTTCGCCTGGAAATTATATCCTGCCAACAGGTCTGAAGTCCAGCTGCACTGTGGACATTACAAATTTATATTTCACCTGGTGTTGTCTTTCCTCCTCTGAATCAGGAGGCAATTCCCTGCATTGTCCATCTGGAAATCCCACACACTTGTTAATCCACTAACCTCAGATTTTCACCTACTCTCTTTTCTCAAGACTGCTCTTTTCCAGGTGTGTCCATACTCCTAGTTGCAAAGTCCTGCGAATACACTTCCCTTCTTGTTCTCCAGCAGTTAATGCTATTAACCTCCCTCTTCTCTTCCCATGGTTTTGGGGACACTGCGATATTCTGATATTTCCCCTTTTTCATCTAGGTTGACTTTGCACGAGAAAAATTTGGGTTCAATTCCACCTCTGCCATTTACTAAATGCCTAGACATAGGCAAATTCATTATCCTGTCAAACCTTCCTCATCTCCATCTTCAAGAATAGCCCTAATTGTCAATTCTGGTCTCCTGTAAGGACAGGATGGAGTAATGCCCACAAAGATCTTGTTAGATGTATGGCATCAGTGACATGCTGTGACTTTACCCTCTAGTTGTTGTTATTCTTTAGGTTTCTGTAATTTGCTTGAATTCTGACACAGACTTCTTGCCTGGAGGGACCAGAAGGTCTAGTGTAGTGTTATAGGCTCACTGGGGCTAGGGGCCAGACAAGCTGAGAATCCAGTCTGGGAACTAGGTGCAAAGAGAGGCAGGTAGGCACTGCCTTGTCTGAACTCTTTGGGTTCGCATTCTGAAGCTAGTATCTTACTACTTATGGCACATTTATCAAACTTTCTAGCCTTCCTAGGCCTCTTCTTACAATAGAAATAATTGTTCTTCCTCATAGAGTCATAATGAAAAGCAATGGGAGAATGAGTGTGAAATGTTTACTTGACCCAACGTTTTATACAGAGTAAGTTTTCTGTAAAGCTTAGCTGATCATTATCATCACTATCAACACCACCACCATCATTACCATCACCATCACCATCACCACCACCACCATTATCATCACTAGACCTTCCTATCACCACTGTCCTCCCATCATTATCAGAAGCCGCTCAGCATCACCACCATCACTATCACCATCTTCACCATCACTAGGATTGTCGTTCATCATTACAAAGACTCCATGTGTCTCTAAATATGAATAGCATTGTTTTTGGAGTTTGGATGATAGAACAGTAGCCTCAGCTTTGCAAACTGAGGGCTATAGCTGATTACACTGAGAAAAGTTCATACCCAAGCACTAATTTGCCTGACTGAGAAAGAAGTGTCTTACCTGTGCTTACTAATAAGGTGCCCTTCTCTGTCAATAGTCCCATGAGGTACAAGGTCAGGTCTTGGCCAGCTACATCCAGCTGGAAGGTCGACTGGTTCAAAGGATAGCCATCAGTGATGGGTACAAAGTATGTCATTCCTTCTCCAGATTCAATAGTTGTTCCTGGGTAAGAGAACATGGTGGTGTCATCAGATAGAGTACGACATCCCATACCACTGCGAGTCTGCAGGAAAAGGAAGCAGGAGAAGACAGGGTTTGAGGATAAATAGAGGGGAAGGCAAAGAGGCTGGCTAAGATAAGAAAAGGGAACTACTGTTTTGGATGAAAGCCAGAGGATTTTCTAATTAAACTCAACATGCAAACATTAGCAATAATTGCAAAAAACACTGGGATTCTCTGGGTGGTACCCAAATGCTGGGAGAGTCTGAGCACAGTGGAGGAGGAATATGCTGCAGTTATCAAAATGCACAAGGATGTGATGGTACAAAAGGAGGAGACACAGGAACAGGAACACATGGTCTTGTTTTGTATGACACAGTGGCTCTGGAAGCTGTCCATAGCCAATTGGAGTCTGGGTAGTCAACTTCTTTCACTCTGATGAGCAAGATCTGAAAATTTCAATGGAGCATGCTGAGTCCAAAGGACCTCTCCTATTCCAGCTGCAATGGAGACCAGGGAGGGGTTTCCCTCCCTCCCACAACTAAAAGAGAGAACTAAATGCATTTTCCAGAAACTGGACACCAGGCAACAAGGCACAGTAGCCCCAAGAGAGAGGACACCACGACCAAAGAAAGTAGGTTGGGTGGTGTGCTCAATCCCAGCACTTTGGGAGGCTGAGACACAAGGGTCCAAGCCTGGGCACTTCAGTGAGACTCTGTCTCAAAATAAAAAATAAAGAACTACTGGACATGTATCTCAGAGCAAATGCCATGGCTCAATCCCTAGTAGCACAAAAAAAAAGAAGAAAAAGGAAAAAAGGAGATGGAGGGAAGGAGTGAGGGAGGGGAGGAGGGAGGGGAGAAAGAGAAAGAAGAAAAGAGGAGGACACGATCACTCATGAACATATATACAAAACCTTAAAATGAAATTTTGGCAAATAGATTTCAATGATAGTATAAAAAAAAAAAAGGATGATAGGAGATGACCAGGCAGGTTCTGTCTCTAAGGTAGCTTTACCACTCAAACAATGTAATTCACCACAGTCACATCAATAAATACAGGAAAATCGAAGACTTCCGGGAGAACATGGCGGACAGATAACAGCAACTACCGGAGGCTCTCTGAAAGACTCGGCTCAGAAGCCAGGAATGGTGCAGACTAAGGAGACATAAGCAGGTGGAGATATGCTCTGCTGACTCAGGAACGAACTGGGCTGAGAGAAACCAACTTGGAATGCAGTCCTGGTGCTAAAACAGGAACAGAAAAGCCTCGGTGTGGAGGCTGGACCCTGCGCCATTGTAAGCCGCGATTTGGGTTTCCCGCCGTGCGGCGGCTGGCTGCCTCTACAGTGGCTCGGCAAGGAGAGAGACGCGCGGAAGCTCTGAGAATGGCAATCTGCGAAAGGCAGGGAGGTGTGCACTGACTTATGGTGAGGTGAGTGAGAGAAACTGACACTCTACCACAGTTTGACTCCAGCAGAGGACTTTCTGGGCCCGAGCAGTCCTGCGGGAGCAGGGCGTGGTGGCGACTCCAGCCACACATCCCCCTCTCGGGCGGGATTGGTGAAAAGTGCCTGGCCTGCGTGACACTGCCGGCGGACCTGGTAGACTGTCCCAACCCAGATCCCAGAGCCTGACGGTGGCTGGGAGGGGAGACGCGTAGGCTGCCTGGTCCGTAACTCCCTGGTGTGCAGCGGTGAGCAGGAACACCTAACTGGCGCAATTCGATCAGGCTGTGGCTGACTGGGAGAGAAGCTGGGCCTCTTATATAAGCTTGCATATATAAGGAACAGAGAAGAAGAGGCAGCATGGGAAGAGGCAGCAACAAGAAAGGCTCCTCGGCCCCCAATTCTGAGAAACAGGCAATAGCGGACACCGCACCAATACACATAAGGCGCCATATAGAGAGCCTCATAGACCAATTCAGGAATGAAGTTATCAACGACCTGAAGCTAGAAGTATGCAGAATAGTTAGAGAAATGCTAAGTACCACCCAAGAAAAAACAGGTGGTGGAATGGAAGAACAGAAAAAAAGGGGAGAATTGTTTGATGGAGAAAACAGAGAAAGCATAGAATACGTGAAGCAGGTTCAAAGGGACTACCAAGATACTAAGAAGTCTATCGAAGACTGGCATAACAGCTTGAAAGAAACTAAGGACAGACTATCTGAACTGGAGGGCAGACTTGTAATATGGGAGAATGAAATGAAAAACTTCTTAAAAATAACAAAGAAACAAACAGCAATAATACAAAGACAAGAAGATGATAAGAGGATCCATAACTTAAGGATTAAGAACATAAAAGAAGAAGTAGGGACACAAGCAAGTGAACTACAAAAGCTACTCACAGAAATAATCCAGGAGAATTTTCCTAATTTAGCAAAAGGTAAAGATACTCAGACGTACGAGGCATACAGGACCCCAGCTACCTACAACCCAAACAGAGCAACACCCAGGCATATAATAATAAAAATTCCAGAAATTCAATACAAGAACAGAATATTAAAAGCTGTCAGAGACAAGAAACAGACCACTTACAAGGGAGCTCCCATCAGAATTACAGCAGATTTCTCGGAACAAACCATCAAATCACGAAGAGCGTGGGGGGAAATAATTCAAGCTTTGAAAGATAATAATCTCCAGCCAAGATTGAGGTATCCTGCACAACTGTCCCTGGAGATTGATGGAAAAACAAGGTGCTTCCAGGATAAAGAGGAACTGGGGGAATTTGCAACCACCAATTCAACTCTACAGAGAGTATTGCAGGATATTCTAAAAAAAGAAAAATACAAAGAATCCAGAAATAATGGCAGAGAGGCCACAACGAATGGAGCAGAGAACAAAATGAAGAAGACAAACTGACAACTACTGACAGAAAAAGAGCTCAACAGAAATGAGGCAGAGAAGATTGGATGATAGGAACAACTATTTTGGAGAAAATGACATCTTAATAGGTAATACTGATTTAGTATCATCTTGTTTTGAAGTCTCATCTAGCTTTTGTCCTTCTGTCTCCAATGGTCTAAATAGGCTGTATCTTATTGGATTTTATTATGTATGATAGTATAAGCAAAAACCTTTTAAAGACAAGGAGATTATACAGAAACCATTGTTCATTTTCTGTTAGCCGATTCTAAATACTCTGTAATGCTGTCATTCTCTTGAATGGTTTTACATTGTTTTGATATACTTAATGCTACAGTATACGAAGTTGTACTCAAGGATTTCAAAGAAAGAGACAATATGGTAACTACTTTTAGGTTAGGATTATCTGGTGGTGAAACACTACTCTGCTTAAATGGTTATGTTTTGATCTGCGCTGTTTCGTTGTTATGCCCTCTTTTATCTCAATCTCCACTCCATTATTTACTTTTTTATCTTTATCCTTTTAATTAAAGGAAAAAAATAGCAGGATACATTATAGTAACCCACTTTGACTTTTTATTACCTTGATTTAAAGCCCTGTATTACTCTCACCATCTGGTTTTTAACTGATGTTCCCCTATTCTGTTTTGCTGGATAGTATCAGGTTCGAAAGTTTAGGCATCAGCTGTGAAGATAATGAGATTCATTATGACGCCCATTCTTGTTGACTTTTATCTACTTTTGAAGACCTACAATGTCTCCAATGTTTTGGTTTTGTCGGTTTTATTCTTTACTGTTTTGTTCAATTGTATTATAACTAACGATATAGGCAATCCTATTAGAGATAGCGGGAGGCATTTTGGTAACCATTGTTGATCACCTTGTATTATGTTTTTACATTATCTATTATGTCCACCCTTTTGACTTGACCGATTCTGTTCTGTTATGTCACATTTGGTTTTACTCTCTTCCAAAAAAGTAATAAGAACCGTGGGAGCAATGAAACCCAAAATGTGTAATAGTCATGGTACAAAAGAGAGGAAAAGAAAGTGCTCCAAACTATATAACTGCATGTATATTTAAATGTATAAGATAGAAAATGATATCACAGAGTTTTATTGGATCAATGAACAGAACTGTTTGCAGTATCATTGATGGAATGTCCACTTTACAAGCTTTAATTTTGTGACTTGAACAATTATTTCTAAGATGACAATATGTAATCCATTAACTAGTGATTTCCTACTGTTCATTTTTTTTCTGTAAATCTGTATAACTTGTACCCTTTCCGTGCTTTTTTTTCTTTTCTCCTTAAATAAAATTTTTAAAAAATCAAAAAAAATAAATAAATACAGGAAAATCCACACAATCACTCCAATAAATACAGAAAGTATGCTTGGCAATACCTAACATGTGTCACTGATTAAAAATAAAAATTTCTCAGCAAGAGAGGAATGCTGAAGAACTTCTTTAACTGGATATAAGACATCTCTGAAAAAAAGAACAGTTCATGTTTTAAGACTGATTTCCCCTTGAGAGCAGGAACAAGACAAGAATTTCTGCTCTTATCGATTCGATTCATTATTGTACCATGGAGTTCAGCAACCAGATGAGGAAAAAAAAAAACCATCCAGCATGAAAATAGTAAAGCAATATTTTCTTTGTAGACAATTTGATTGCCTAAGTGACAGACCTATTATATCTACAAAAAATAAAATTGAGTATCAAGATATGAATGTACAAAAATAAACTCTAAGGGCTGGAGATGTGCCTCAATGACAGTGCACTTGCTTAGCATGCCTAGGTCTTAGGGTATGACTGTCAGCACCAAAAAAAAAAGCCAAAAGAATAAAGAGAATTAATTGTTTATAGTAGCTATCAATAATGAGTAATTGAAATAAAATACCATTTATAATAGCATTTAAATGTATGAAATACTTAGAGATAAATTGGGCAAAAGATATGTATGACCTGTATACTGTGAATAACACAACAATACTAAAAGAAATTAGGATGGACCTAACAAACATACCTCATTCACGATTCACTAATCAGAAGTCTAAATTTTCTAAGTCAGAAGTAAGAAGTCAGTTTTCCCCAAACTGCTCTATCTACAATCAGTGCAATTCCAGAGTTCTAAGATGGTTTAAGAACTTTGAGAGGGCTGCTTTTTTTATTTTTTAAGAAAATGACAAACTGATTCTAAAAGTTATATGAGAAAATATAAAGAACCTAGAATAGGTTCTTTCCAAATTTTTTTTTCCAACATAGGAGATCAAAGTAGTACCAGTAATATATCACCTTATTTGAAGACTTTTTATAAATTACAGTAATCAAGACAAGGTGGTATCAACCTACTGTTAGAAAGATTAATGGAACAGGACAAAGGACACAGTAGGAAACACACACGAATGTGGCAAACAGATTTCAGAATAAATGCATTTCAGTTAAGAGTGATCTTTTCAATACCTAGTGTAGAAACAAGAGGACACACACACACACACACACAGCCTTCATTCATCCCTTATACCATACACAAAAATTTATTCAGAAAACATCACAGAATTGTGTGACTCTAAAATTCTATCAGTCCTTGAAGAAAACTGGTACTGTTTGCATGTGGAATGTCTCCTAAAAGCTAATGCACTGAAGGCTTGGTCCTCAGTGTGGCAGTGTTCAGAGATGGGGCCCCTGGGAAGTGACTGAGTCATGAATTTCCAGTATCATCCATGGCTTAACTCATGTATGGATTAATAAGAGCTTGGTGGGCTCTTAGAAGGTGAGGGGATCTTCAGTAGGCGGGACATAGCAGAAGTAGGTCTTTGCTGGGTTTATCCTGTCCCTGGTCCTCTCCTTGCTCACTCCCTGCTCCCTGGCTGCTGTGAGGTGAGGAGCTTTCCTTCGCCACACCCTTCCAGCATGATGTCCCGCCTCACCGCAGGCCTAAAACCGGTGGAGCCTGATGATCATGGACTGAAACCTCTTAAACTATAAGCCAAAATAGAAACCTTTCCTGATTTACGTTGAATTCTCAGGTAGTCTGGGACAGCAATGGAAAGCTATCTAACACAGAAAATACAGCCAAAAAGCTTTGGCTTCAGCATTTCTTTCTTAGATAGAATATCAAAGGCAGGGTCTGAAAGAAAAAGTAAGCCAGACCTTTATTTTATAATCAAATACAGGTTTTGATTTTTATATTATCCAAACCTTCTGGGAAGTGAAGTGAACATACATTTGAAGGAAGACTTGTACCAAGGAAAGACAGAGATGACAGATCATAGAGGTGAACTCCGCAAGGCACTGAAGCATATACTTTGTTGAAGTAAGTATTTGCTGCTGTGGTTTAGATCTAAAATCACCCAAGTCTCATGTGTCTGGAGGGTAATTGGACTGTGAGGACATGATACTCCGCAGTGGCTCCCTCTGTGGATGAGTCCATAGCTGAGTGTGCTTTCAGAAGGTGGGCTCTGGTGGGAACTCGGTCTGTTCTTGACCACAGCTCCTCCCTTCCTGCTCGGTTTCCTGACTTCCTTGACCTTTCACCTTGCTGTTTCTGCTTTGGAGCCTGCTAATCATAGACTGAAACAGTGAGTCAAAATAAACCTCTTTTAAATCATGGGTTTTGGGTGTTTTGTTCCAGTGAGAGAAAAGTGACTAATACACATGCATAGCAAAAAACACAAGAAAATATGTTCAGATGCACTGGTCATAGGGATTGTGGGTAAATCCACAAGAAGACTTCACTGCACTCCTGTTGAAATGGCTAAAAAGTAGAAGACTGACCACAGGGGTGAGGGAAGATGTGGAGGACCCGGACCTCTCCCACAAGGCTGTGGGAATGCAAAATGGTGCAGCTGGCTTGGCAACTAGATAGGCAGATTTTTAAAAAACAACAGTTAAGCATGCACCTGTCATATGACCCAGCCATTTCCCTTGTAGGTAATTGCCCAAAAGGAATGAGAGCATATATCCATGCAAAGAGTTGCACACGAATGTCCAGAGCAGCTCTATCCATAATAGCCCCAAACTGGAAACGACCCAAATAGCCATTCATGTGTGAATAAACAAAGCATGTGCATTCATAAAACGGAACACTACTCAGCAATAAAAAGAAGTGAACTATTGATACAGACAACAGTGCAGATGAATCTCCAAATAATTATGCACAGTGGAAAAAAGACACAAAATAGAGCACTTGTCTCATGGTTCCCTTTATATAAAATACTGGAAAATGCAAACTCTCTATTGGGACAGGCCTGGTGGTCATCTGGGGATAGGCAGAAAGGGGAAGAGTGGCAGTATTAAGGGAACTTCAGAGTGATGGGTAGGTTCATAGTATTGGTCATGATGGTTTTTTGAGAACTCATCAAATTGTATGCTTAAAAATATGAAGTTTATTGTATGTCTCTTACATGTCAGTAATTGAAGAGAAAAAGTGAGACCAGCAAATTGTTAAAAGTCTGGGAGAGGTTTACTTAACCAGGAGGGAAGAAAGGGGAGAGACTCAAGAAAAAGGCCAGGAGTGTGAGTTTTAAGCAACTGTCTTCGATTATTTGTCGAAGGGACTCAACTGAGTGCTACCGTGTATCACCAGTCATCAGTCCCAGAGATGAGGATGTGTGGGTGGAGCTCCCACAGGGCTAACTCACCATCAGTCAGGCCAGAAGCATACAGTGAGAGGACTCCTTGATTGACTAAGGACAGGGCAGGTACACCGAAGGTCTCAAACAGGATCTAGGAAGAAACATTAGCAGCTGTCAATCTGAGATGCAGACAGAGCAGGCAGGGCTCCAGCTCACTCTCCTAGGTCAGTCTGGGTCCCCACTAATGGCAGGCACTGGCCCTAGTACAATCTGGGGCAGTCAAAGGCACAATCTCCTCCAGCTGCCTCTGTTACAACCAGCACTGGGTTCTGTTTCTCAACCTGTAAAATGGGCTCACAATGTTCTTCTGAAGGCTCCTGTGATTGTGGACGCTGATTGGATCAGGGTACCAGACCCTGTCACTGCTATGTTTTGATAGGAGGCCTCTGTGGACTCGCAGTTGTCTTCAGGGGACACATTCTTCCTTCTGCTGCTGAGAACTGTGCGGAGCCATGCAATCTCTACGTTTTGGTTTGGGAGGAGCTGTATTTTATGATGTCAGAGGCAACCACAGCTAACAGTTCCCATGTGGTAACTACATGCTGGACATCTTGTCCAAACATGATTTGGATGCTGACTGGATACCAGCATCAGAAGCATCAGTGACCAGGTGAGATACACCTGGCTTCACCTGACAGATACGTGATATTCACTTAGAGACTCACAGGCAAAAATTTAAGTCAGCAGGTGGCAGAGGGCACCAAGCCTAGGTGGCTGATAGCAGAGCTTTGCCTCTTTGGGCTTGGCTGAGTGGCTGACACCTATGAGATCATGATGCTGAGTTCTGTGGGGTGACTGCAGTGGTTTTTCTAGCCACTCAGCTAGAAAAAAGGTAGGACTCTCCTTCCTGCTTACTCAGAGTAGGGTGCCAGGCAGGCCCACACAGAGACTTGTGCCCAGGTACTGTGACAGTGAACAGCCCTACAGGTGCCTTTCAAGGGCTCCCTGGCAGTAGCTCATTTGGACCATTTCCTGAGCTCTGGCTAGGGGGCTGTTCCTAGGTATCTGCCGCCTGACTCCAGAAAGATTGGCAGTGGTGCTATGACCTCAGAGCCTAAGAGTCTCACAAGGGCAGTGATGGGGTGTGGACTTACTCAGCTGCTCAAAGGGGCACTGAATGACCTCAGCCAGGACCTCAAAACGAGGCCAAGACAGTATGTTTCAGAAACTGATATCATGTGTGGCAGGGCTCCGTCCTTGAACACATTGTTTGAAAGATACATAATTGGACCATTGGGCGGCAACCAGGCTGGGCTTGGGTATTAACCCAGAAGGAAAGACACATCTGTGTGAAGACCACTGACTTATAGTGGCTTCATTTACTCCAAACTGGAGTCCCCAAAGGTGGGCGTCTATAGGTGATGGACATGCAAATGTGACACATGGACAGGAGGGAAGGCACTCCTGATGGGAGGACAGTTTTTGTGATAGGACCAGAGTCCATCTGCCTAGAAATCACAAAGAGAAACACTGACCTCAGCCCTTGCTCTGCACTGTGGAGCATGAAGGTCACACAACCTGGAGGGTCTGGAGGTTCTTGGGGTTCCTACACTTAAAAACTTGCTAGTAGGGGCTGGAGGTTTAGCTCAGCGGCATAAGCGCCTGCCTTGCAAGCAGGCAGTCGTGAGTTCGATCCCCGGTACCAATAAAAAGGAAAAAGACAAAAAAAAAAAAAATTTAAAAAAAAAAAAAAACTTGCTAGTAAAGATAAGTAAGCCAGTCCCAGGTCTGTAAGGACAGCATTTGCTGAAAGCTCAGTATGGAGGAAGCTTTAATGCTTTAAGGGCATTCATTCATTACATCCTTGCCACAACCCCAGGAAGGTACCATGATTAACGTGCTGATGAGGAAGCCAAGGCAGATGGAGGACCACTGAGCTACCTGACATCACTTGTACTAGCAGAGCTGGGGCCACAATCAGGGGCCCCGGTGCCGGGCCCTTCTTGGTACCTTGGCTGCTGTCTGCACTGGCTTCTCCTCTGAGATTTGGGCCCCAAACTTCTGCTAACACAGAGACATCTTCCAGGAGGAAGCTGCACTCTGCACCTCTCAGCTGTTCCAGTCTCCTGGGGCCGTGGAAGTCAGTCAGGCAGCTGTACAGAGGGACACTGGCTGGGACCGAAGCCCCACTGGGTGGGTGCTGAGTGAGGGAAAGGTGAAGCATCGCCCATAGGGGGCAGAGATGTCCCTTTCCTTGCAATGTTGCTGTGTCCTTCCTGCCTGCTGAGAGAGGCCAGGTTGGGGAGGGAGTTGGCTGCTGCGTCCTTGGACTCATAGAAGCTTCCGGCCTCCCCACTGCCCTCTGCCTGGTGTAATGCTGGGCACCTTTCCTAGGTGACCCTTTGGGCTCTGTCCATAGAGACACCAAAAAGAGATAAGGATATCAGAGGTAGGGCTTTGGTGCCTCTGCTGATTCTGAGCCAGGTCCCTCTTCTGATATCACAGTTCCTAGGTGAGCCCCTCATTGTGAGTGACTATTAATGCTTTGGGGGGCTTAAGATAGCAGTGGCCCCATTATCAGTCTCAGAACACTGCAGCATCCAAGTGGCTTTCTCCAAGAGGTAAGCCATCACAGGTGAAATCTTCTTATCACTTTCTGCAGAAGAAACCCAGATGGATGCTCCTCTGGTCTTCAGCTGGCCCCTGACATAAGCTGGTCAGATCTGGGGCAAAGAGGTAGGCAGTGGCCCAGGGGAGGGAGGGATACACCACAGGCAGGCAGTGTGCCCACCACATGGTTGTTGCCATGGCGAATTCCATAGATCAGCCTGTCTGGGTTCTGGAGAAGCAGACCTTTAGGAAAACATTACAGCCGTGTATCCAGGGGAATGTTCTTGCATGAGATTGACATTGGGTCAGTGGGCTGATCGAGGCAAGTAGCCCTCTTCAGCATGGGTGGTGCATTCTCTGAGAAGAATGTGGGGCCTATGTGGGAGGTCACCCCTGCCTGACCTCAGACTTAGGACAGGGATCTTCTGGCCTGCAGGTTTGAACTGGTGGCTCTTCTGGGCCTCAAATTGAGGCTGCACTGAGTCCCTCCTGGGTCTCCAGCTTGTGATGGCAGCAACCACATAGGACAGTTCCTTCTGCAAATGTGCACATACCTAGTATTCTCTTCCGCCCACAAAGTGAGGAGCACTGTCTTCCTGGGGTGAAGGCGGCCTTACCCTCTGGCCCTCCTGCAGCTCCCAAAGCCGTTTGGACAGTGGGCAAGTCCAGCACTCTGGAATTTCTTTCACAAGACCAGCACCTCCTCCTGAGCGTGCTGTGCCACGTGCAGGTGGTGCCTGGGCCTGGGCCTTCCCTTCAGTTTGCTGTTCATGGCAAGAGACAGTGCTAGGCTCAGGGGCACTGGGCCAGATGGATGAGCCTTGCTGCTTGCTTAATTAGCCCATCAACATCCTCATTAGGAGATCCGGATGGCATGAGGACACCAGCAACCAGCAGGGACCCCTGAGGTGTCCACCCCACCTGGCCCCACTGCAGCCCCAAGGAGGACTCTGCAATCTGTGCGGGTACCCTGGGCTGCTGATTCAACCCACCCTTCACCCACCTGGCCCTGTTACCTGGCACACTCTCTCTCTGGTGGATGTTGAGTTTAAAGGTGGCTCAGTCATCATCAAAGGGTACTCTTCGGGGGGGATGTTGAGCACCTGGTAGAAGGAGTGATGCCAAATCTGGGGGGACAGAGGAGGGCACAATGGGCTGCTCTGGGGACAGAAGAGAGTCCAGCTACTCAAACAGTGTTTCAGTGCTCTCTCTCTCTCTCTTTCTCTCTCTTGTTCTCTTGTTCATCAATCTTTCTTTTATCTCTATCACCCATCAGTCCAATCTATCCATTTATAACTTCTTTCTTTCTTTCTTTTTCTTTCCATATCCATGTGTTCTACACCCAAAGACTCAACCAATCAAGTATCAAAAATATTCCCCCCAAATGTGTCTGTAGTGAACATGTACAAAATTTTTTCTTACTATTACTCTCCAAACAATACAGTACGACAGTTATTTACATGACCTTTGTATTGTAGGTATCACAAGGCACATGGGGCTTATCTAAAGTGCACAGGAGGGTATGTGTGGGTTACATGCATGTACTGCATTCCATCTTAACCTTGGATTTTAGTATCTGAAGAGGTCCTAGAAATAAATAATCTCCACAAATACCTAAGATTACTGTATTTTGAGCAGCATCTGAAGCTCCAGCTCAGAGTCAGAGCACTGTGACCCGATGACACTGCTGGGAAGGTAGAGCGTGACTATGGTGAGACACACCACCCCTGACTACACAACAGGCCTAGAAGAGGGAGTAGGGCAGATGCAACCAGAAGGTGTGGTGCTCGAGGACCCTGGGTATGACTCTTATGAACATTCACACTGTGGGTGAGTCTGCAACCAGGCAGGTTGGCTGCGCATGGTGAGAGTCCATTGACAGATGTTCGGTCACACACAAGTGTGTGCCCTGGGAAAGCAAGGTGACCTTAAATGGGCCTATCTCCCCGTCTTTCAGATGGAAACTAATCCCTATCTTAGAGTCCTTATCTTTAGATTGTAAAGATTAGGTAATGAGTTGATTAAAAAGCCTGGTGTTTCTACTCCCTATCACACCTTGAAGCCAGGTCATTATCCCATACCTCAGGGACTGGGGGTCCCAGACCTAGGTACCCACAGCCTGGTCCTTCCTGAGACCTCTCTCTTAGCTTTCAGACAGCATCTCCTTCCTTGTGTGTGTCTGCATCCCAATATCCTCTTAAAGACCCGAGTCACGTGGATTAGGACCCAACCTAATGAACCCATTTTATACCTAACCACCTCTTTAAAGGTCTGTCTTCAAATTCAGTCAAATTCTGAGGGTTTAGGGATCAGAATTCCAGGATATAATTTCAGAGATGCACAGTGCAGCCTGTGCATTCTAGTGTAGACTTTGGCACACAGTAGGGCTCCATAAACAATGCTAGTTATTATACATGGCATTGTTGTCTGCTCCTTGGGAGGGAAGTTCTGTGCATGATGGAGAGAAGCCAAAGACAGCTCCACTGGTAAGAGGCATGGAGAAACTCAGGCTGTGGAAGCATCATGAGACTGCAGAAGCCTGAGGCATCACAGCACCTATGCCATAGTGGGAAGAAGGAGGTGATGACCTAACCTGGATGTGTGTGGGTGAATCCCTGGATGAATGAGGTCATTGAGAGCATAGAAGGGGACTCCATCAGGAACATTTTACCTGGCTAAAAACTTGAAACCCAGAGCTGGCACTGACTACAGACACAGGACCAGCCCCCAAGATGCAGGTAAACAGGTTGAACCCCACACAGTGGAGGAGAGGGGTAACAACAGCCAACTGGAAAGAGTACCAGAAGCTGGGGGCCTTCACTCTCCAAAGTCAGTCTATGCAGTTCCAGTGTCTGCATCCTTTCCACAATCAGAGCCACAACCAAAGCAGATGCTTTGGCTGTACAGATGTGAACATATCTGTGACCTGAAAAACTGGCCTTGTTGTCTTGATCTTGGACTTCCAGCTTCCAGTACTGTGAGGCAACAGATTTCTGTTGTTTAAACTGTCTGACTACGGTGTATCTTCTAAGATAGTTGCAACCTGTCCTAACACACAGAGGCCTGATCAGAACCCTTGGTTATGGACCAAAAGAAGTTTGATTTCACTGTGTATATTACCTCTTTATAGTGGGGATTAAGGGCCTCTTTTCCATTGTTTCCTTTAATCCCCACAGCAGTGGTGTGGTAAGAGCAAGTATACCTGCCTTTAAGACAAACAAACTGAGGATTACAGAGGCTACAGCTCATGTCCCAAGTGACTTCAATAATAAGCACCTGAGACAGGATTCAAACCCCAGCCTACTGACTGCAGAACCTGGTAGTTGAGACCATGATGAGATGCCTAGAGGGGCTAAGAGCTAAAAACAGTAACAGAACTCCTCATGCCTGGCAAAAGACCCTTTCCTTGATGCTGAGGCAGTGGTAGGGGCTCCTATGCCAGATCCTCCCAGTGGAAGCTGTGACCTACCTTCTCCAGGTTGTCCCAGCTGGTGACATCTCCCCGAGAGATGGGATACTGCAAAATGAGTCTCTCTCTCTTTTTCTGGGCATCATTTCCCAAAAACCAGTCTTTCTCCTCCATTCCCACCAGCAGAGTCTGGAAAACATGGCAGGATGGATCAGTCCACGGAAGGGGTGGGAGGTGGGGGCTCAGCCATACTTAGCCCACATGAACAACCACAGGAAGGGCCCCAAGTCACAATGTGAGCATGAAGCACCCTCTCCAACCCCATGCACAGTTTCAACAATGGTCACTAGGTTTTGGCCAACTGCCTGCATGTGAAAATCTTCAGAGGTGTCTCTGCCAGGTTGCTCATCCCCCTACTCTGAAGATGAGGAAACTGAGAGCAGCTGTGGAGAAAAGCTATGGTGGGGAGACTTAGGGGCCTGACTGGGACATTTGCTTTGGAGGGCTGACTAGGAAAAGGTTTGCAGTATGATTCAAGTCCTAGCTTTGGGGAAGACGAACCTAGCTGCTTTCAGTGGAGATGAAACTTTTCATCCTGCCACTTGGGATTTATTAGTTATCTGGTGTGTTAATCTGGGTCCACCAAGAAGCAGACACTGAGCTGGGATCAAATGTGCGAGACGTTAGTAGGAACAGCCCTCTGTGGATGAAAATGGGCAGAGAGGATGCAGGGCCATTAAGCTGATGCCCATATCTGACCTCAGGGAAGCATCAGATGAGCAGGGGTTGTGGGCTACTGTACATGAAAAGAAGGTACAAGGGTAGTTCCAGGTCCAGAATCACTCATCAGAGGAGTCCCAGGTCTTCCAGAAAGGGCCATGCTTAGCAGTTGGCCGGGATAAGCCTGCAGGGAGGACGATCTTGGAGTAGGAGTGCGATAAGGTCACCACAGCAACACAGTTGCAGGACAGCCGGGCCATTAATACTGTTAAACTATTAATTGAACAGCTTCTCTCAAAGTCTCCAGCTGATCCTCATTTTAGTGTGTTGGCTGTGAGGGTGTGGAAGGAGCCTCACTGCTCTCTTTGAGGTTGCACAATATGCAGTGTGGTGTTCATTGCCAGGTGGCCTGCAGGTCAAGGTGGCTGCTCAGGCTGGAATGGACGAGTGACTTTGGGTGAGGCCTGTGTTCTGCTCCTGGGTTCCCTCCAGCCCTCCCACGAGTGGCCTTGCTGTCACATTGGCTGCTGGCCTGGATTACTGGGTGAAGAGTGGCTTGCGAAAGCCCTGGGGATACTCAGCAACTCCATGCCTTGGGAAGGTGAAGGAAAAACACAGAGTCAAGACTGTGGAGGGGCCAGGAGCTTAGACCTGAAAGGAGTATGAACCCTCCCAGCGGCAGAAGCTGCTGCCCAAAACTCCGGTGAAGCCCACAGGCGGGGATGACATGGCTCAAGCAAATGGAGGCCCAGTGCAGCCTGCAGGGCTCAGGGGACTTATGCCCTGACAATTGATCTTGATCACTTGATGCTATCTTGGTGAACAGTGTGAGTTTGTCATGCTAGGCGCCTGTGTCTCACACTTTTATTGTTGGTTTATAAACAGCTCTGCTCTCTGATGTGCTGCACTTTGGACCATGTTCTCTGGGACCGTGGTGTCACTTTCTAGGGCTTCAACTACAGGTGGTCAAAAATATTAATATCTATCTTGACTCTTTTGAGAAGAAGATCATATTCACATAATTTTAATTGCTGGATCTTGTGACCGCTCTATTTCATCATCACTTAATGTTAACTTCTTACCATGTCTAAACTGAACTTTTTTCTAGGTCTATGTGTTTAGAGAAAAACAGCCTGAGTATGGTGGAGTACTCACTAAGGTCCCAGGCACCCTAGGGTTTCTGGGATGTACCCCAAGAATGATGGGGTGAACTGCATGATTAACGTGTCCTTTCTTTCCCTCCACACACTTTCTCTTGGACTACAATATGTATTTCTGATGCAAGCGGTATTAACACTGCAAAACAGAACAAATGTGTCAACAGTCAAAGCAGGTGGGGCTGCAGACCAAGCCAGGAGGAGTCTCCTGAGCCAGAGCTGGAGCAGGAGGAGGGCACTGTTGACTACTTGGAGCCTGCCTTGGGTTCCGGGGAGGGTTAGTTGTGGATCTCTTGCTGCTACTTCAAGAGGGGAACTAGAAAGAGCAGGAAAACAAGATCTGGACACCCCCACCTTACATTTTCAGTTTGCTTCTAGAGAGCCCTGTCTGAAAAGCCTCACAAGGGCAGTTGTTAAGGAAGTTCTGGAACAGTTGCTTGCTCAGCTGCAGCCCCAGAATCCAATGGAGAGCAGAAACATGAAAGACAAAGCTGGGCCTGATGGAGACAGGGAGAAGCCAGCTGTGGTAGCGTGAATGGTGGCCCCAGAAAGATATGTTCAAGCTATAACCCTCAGACTTGTGAATGTGACCGCCTTCGGAAAAGGATCTTTGCTGACATAATTCAGGTAAAGGCCCCAAAGGAGATGGTTCTGGCTCTAAGATGGGCCCTGGGTCTTTGAGGAGAAAGTTAGAGACTGAGACAGAGAAAAAAAATAGAAAAGGTCTATAAGGTCAGAACCAGAGACTAGAGTGGTAAGGCCATAGCCAAGGGATGCTTGGGGTCCTCAGAGCTAGAAAAGGCAGAAAGGAGCCAACCCTAGAGCCTTGGGAGAGTGCAGCCCTGCTGAAGCGTTGAGGCCCCAAGATCTCAGGAAGAATACCTGGGTACTGTTTTTTTGTTGTTGGTGGTGGTGGTAACTGGGGATCAAAAGATGTGTACTGTTTTAAGTGCTCTGTGTTATGACAGTCATGGGACACCCAGGCAGTTATGATACTGTGAGGTCTAAGTGTGTGCTGCCCCTCTTCTGATTTATTCTCCCATCCTCTCTCAGAGCCACCTGATAAAACCCTCCAAAATGGGCAGGGACAGTGCACTGTTATCTGGCTACGTTGATAAGAACTATTCAAAAGAGTTAGGTTTCGGGGAGGGGAAAAGACTATGCATCGAAACAGCAGAGAATAGAGAGGACAGGGGTCCTGAGCTCCTGCTTCTGGGAGACACAGTGAGGAGGGCAGTGATGGCAGGTGGGAGTGGGACAGTCCACTGTCTTCCCATGGCACTGCTCAGGTGGTCACAACTAAAGTTAAGCCTGTGCAAACTGGGAGCGACATCGGGATACCTCTCCTCTTACGGGTATAGGTAGGTAGACTAAGCCTCTGCGTTCTCTTATAACTGCACGCTCACCTGCTCCTGGGCTTGGGAAAGCCAGCAGCCACCACTAGCAACAAAGCCTTTATTTTGGGACCTGGGGGGCCCTTCTGGGAAGCTCCCTGGCTCAATTTCAACAGAAACTGTTAACACACCAAACTGGTTCTCCAGAGCATGACCAGGACATATTTTCAGTGCCAGCCTCCTCCCACCTCTCTGACTGGTCCTTTCCTGGTTCCAGCAGGTCTATGGCATGCATCCATCTGGCTCTACATGGCCCGGCTGTTGACAAGCTGCAGCTCCCCAGGAAAGGATTCTTTGAATCTTAGGCCAGATCCAACCCCAGGCCCTCTCATCCTTAAATATACCATAACTTGTGTTAGTCCTTAAAGCATCTACTGGCCCAAAGTCACATGCTGAATTCCTAACCCTCTGTACCTAGGTATGGGACAATATTAGGAAATGGAGTCTTTGCAGGTGACCAAGTTACAGGGAAGTCACTAGGCAGGGCCCTAATCCTTACCTGGGGTTCTATAAGAAGAGGAAATCATGACACAGACACACGAAGGACAAGGAGAGGACACAGGGAGAAGATGTCATCTGCAAGCCAAGGATGGAGGCCCCAGGAGGAACAGCCTTACCCATACCTTGATCTTGGACTTCCAGCCCCCAGAATGTGTGTTTATCTCACCTGCCTGTGGCGCTTTGTTAGGACAGCTTAAGCAAACTGATACAAAGCAAGAGACTAAGATTCACAGGATTCCTAGGCCAGTTCTTTGTAAAAGAATTTCTAAAGATGAACAGCTGGTTCAGGGCCATGTGAAACCTTAGCCTTACAAAGCTAGTCCAGTTTTTCCTGTCTATGGGCCTACGAGCTAAAAATGCCTCCTTACATTTTTAAAACGCTGTTGATGTTATCCAGGGAACAGGTTCCTGATAAAAGGAAAAGCTTCTTCTTGTTCCCCGCCTCCTCTTTCTCCACCCACCCCCAGCTTTGCCATGGGATGGTTGCAGCAAGAAGCCCGAGTCAGATGCAGGCTTCTGATCTTACACTTCAGTCTCCAGAACTGTAGGGAATAAGTCTCTGTTCTTCATGAATTACCCAGCTTCCAGTAGTGTATCATACAAAGGCTGATCAAAAACATGGTGTGTGTTTAAATTTTTTAAATGGATTGCCCTGAAGGATGCATGGCCATTAATCTTCCATAAAATATTCCTCTTTGCTTTGAATATATTTATCCCATTTTTCTCATCACTGTCTAGAGCAATTCCTGAAGTCCTCCCTCATGAGCATCCTTACGCAGTGTGACCAAAAATAAAAACAACTGCCAAAAACGCCAGCCAGTGGAAAGGTGGGCTTTCCATTGTGTTGTTATCTCTTTATTCACCAGATATGACACGGTGCAACTTCTGGATTTTCTCCAAAGTCAAAATGACCGTGAAAAGGAAATGCTTTTAATAAATTCAGGGCATCAAGGCAACCACGATAGAGCAATTAAGATGGTCCGGAAAGAGGATTTCCAGAACTGCCTCAGAAAGTGGCAAGGATGATGGAATACGTGTGTTGAAACGAGGGGGAGCATTTTGACAGGGGTTTTTCTTTTACTGTAATAAATTTGAAAGACCTAAACATTCATCATACTTTTTATTTATACCTCAGAGCAGCACAAAAGAAACCAAGACACTAACTTTTATAACCCACTGTTCCGCAGAAGTCAGTAGCTCTGGAAGAAGGGCAGAGGGGAGAGACCAGACTTACAAGCTCTCACCCCAGCCCGGCCCAGCTGAAGCAGAACTCTGGCCCGGGTCCAGCTTCTATGTGTCACCAGCAGGCACTCCCAAGCTTCTGAGGCCTGTCCACCCCAGCTCAGCAGACCACCTTGCCCAGCCCAGTGGGAGAGGGGAGGGGGTTGACAGTACTCCAGGTAGACACCTCGTATCACTCACATCATGTCGAAGTTTCCCAAGGATGGTTGGGAAGACAGCCAGGGGGCCCTCGTTTCCGGAAAATCCCACCTTGCTAAAGCCTGAGCCGTAGTCACAGACGACAGGTACCTTGTCCATCTTGTTGCTTGTGACCTGGATATGATTGTAAGGAGAAGCCACACTGTAATTTGTGCCTTGTGTTTCAAGCCCACAGACCCTGAAGTTACAGGGCAATGCAGCATCCAGAGCTCATCCCTGCCTGGGGTGGGAGCCACCTTCTGGGTGCTGAAGGCATTTTTATGGAAGAGGAGTGCTTCTTGGAAACCCTTTGCACATGACTGCCCTGTAGAGGTGCATCCATGGGCCAGCTGTTGGGCTGGGGTGTGCACCTCCACCTGTTTCTGGAGTCGCCTGGGGATGACTGAGAACATATGGAAGGATGTACATAGGTTCTATGTCAACAATGTGTAGATTCATATATAGCCTTTGCACATCCTTGGATTTTGGTATCTAAGAGTAGGGGTCCCAACCCCTTAGTCATGGACTAATACCTGGCACCATTCTGTGGCTTGATAGGAACCAGGCCACACAGCAAGAGGTGAGCAGCAGGTGAGGGAAAGGAGCTTTATCTGTATTGACAGCCACTCCCCATTGCTCCCATGTGGCTGTGCTCTGCCTCTTGTCAGATCTCTGGCTGCACTAGATTTTCACATGAGCCCAAGTGCTACTGTGCACTGTACATACAAGAGATCTAGGTTGCTCACTCCTTTGAATCATCCTGAAACCATCCCAATCTCATACCCCTAATCTGTGGAAAAACTGTCTTCTACAAAACTGGTCCCTGGTGCCAAAAAGATCAAAGACCACTGTCTGAGGGTTCCTGGATCCCATCCCCTACATATGGAAGGACAGCACATTATAGATAGATGATAGATATCATATTGTTTTGTATTTGACTTATACAAAACCTTATACACATTCCCATGTAATTAACTTTTGCATGAAAATATCTTAAATTATACTCATGTGTGACTTAGTTATTTTCTCATTGCTAAGACAACATATCCAATACTTACAAGTTAAGGGAGGAAAGATTTATTTAGTTCACAGTTTGTAGAGGTTTCAGTCCATAATTGGCTAGCTCCAAGGCAAGGTGCCACATGGCAGAGGGGCAACAGCTTATGGTGGAAAACAGCAAAAACAACGAGAGCAGAGGTAGACAAGACTCTTTCTGTTCCTTACATTGTATGCAGGCTACCCTGCATGCACCCTTAATCACAGCAATTACTCCCTTAATCCCAGCACTGGACCATGAATCAACCACAGATCCTAGATTCAGGTCCTTTGAAAAGTCAGCCCTCCATGCTGCATGAGGCTTTAGGGGAACATCTAGACACAAACTATAAAAATACGTCACTTAAATGATACATATTGGTTCTGAAAAAATGTCATTGATCAATTTTGACATTGTGGGAACTTCATAAAGTGCACTTAACACAAAGTGAGTCCCTATGATGTCACTTGGTGACATAATCTCATGGAACCAACTTCATATGCAGGTCCATTGTTCACCAAAACACACAACTATTGTACAGTGTTCCTCAGCATCAGCCTGCTGTGGATCCTTAACCATCCCCTACAGGGGAAATTTCTCTATCTTCTCTCTTCTGTTCCTTCCTTCCATTCTTCTTTCTTTCCTTTATTAATTCCTTTTCTCTCTCTTTCTCTACTTGTTTTTCTTTCTCCTTTCCTCTCTCTCCTCCCTTCTGATGCTGGGACTAGAACCCAGGACCTGTTGCATCTTCAACAAAAGCCTGTTGCTGAGCTACACTGCAGATCCAGGTTTATTTTTTTTCAGCCTGTAATTAATATCCTTACCCATCACATTGTCCTGAATTTTGGACTAGCTCCTTGTCACGCACGTCTTCTTAGAAACACTAGTTGGAAGATCAGGAATTTCCAAAATCTCCTTAAACATTTTGCCAAATTGTTCTCTGGAGACATTGGTCAATCTGCCACAGCCATGTCCAGGCCCTTTTCACTTGACCTGCCATCATTTCCAATGGCTCTTGTCATCCAATGGCCTCAAGTTTCTCCAGCAGGGACACGTCTCCCTTAAACACTCCAGATGTTCAGCTGGTGTTCGTGGAATGGTTTTTGAAACCTGTTATTCTGTTTGGGAGAATTCCTAATCTCTAGGTTTGGGATTTTTTCAGGCTTCCTGTTAGTCACTTCCTAAAGATGGGACTCTGGCTGCATCTTTGCTTTGTTAGTTGCAAGGTGACACGGTGACCTGAGAACACTGCAGTGAAGTCTGGGGTTCATGGGACAATTTAATGAACAGAGCCTGTGCCTGAATTTCCTGCCTGCTCATCACTGAGATGGAAGCTACCCTGCAGGTGTCGCTAGAATTACAGTTGTCCCTTGGCATCTGCAAAAGATGAGCTTTAGGGCCCCCACAGATACGCACATCTGTGATGTTTGATTTCCTCAGTGATATGCCGCAGTGTGCACAGAACCTACCCACCTCTTCCACATACATTAAATCATCTCTAGACAACTTCTAATACCTGATGCAATGTAAATGTCATATAAATAGTCATTTTATTGTATTGCTTCGGGAATAATGTCAACAAAAGAGTCTGTGCATGTTCAGAACAGCTGTCAATTTTTAAAAGTATTTTCTGTCCTTGTTTGGTTGAATACATGGATGCAGAAACAGCCAAAATGGAGGTTGATTGTGTTACCAGTGAAGAGACTTGGGAGCTGGAATCTGAGCCCATACTCTTTCCCCCATGTCTAGGGCTTTGGTGTAGGAAAATAAATTAATGCTGTGGCTGGGTCAAGTTGTTTTCATTGTCTGTTTGCTAGAATAGCATTAGAGTTTAGGGAAATTAGTTACAGTGACAAAAATATGATTCTCCCCTTTTATTTTAAATCATCTGATGTGGCTTCTGTTACTACCTCTTTAGCAGGAGGGAAATTAGGCCACAAGTAATTGGTGCTGCTCTCCCTGGACTGAACATACTCATCTGGGGCATCTTGAGTGGAAGAAAAATCAGTTCAGAACAGGGAGGAGGGGGCATTTTCTTTCAATGGCCCGGATCCCTTGAGCTTGCCTGATTACTGTAAAGCCCAGCATAGTGCAGCTGACCAAGGGCCATTTTGTATTTTATGCTAGCTCCTTTTTGAACTTGTGAGTCTAAATATTCAGTACAATCCATCCATCCATCTATCCATCCATCAATATTTGGAATCAATTCATGGAAGTAAAAAAAAAATCTAAGGGAAGTGTAAAGGGAATTAGAAGAGAATGTTTATTCTAAGACTGAGCAGCAAGAGAAAAAGACCACCCCAAATTTCAGGTACCATGCTGGGTACATTTTGAATGCCAAGGCGATCAGTGGTGACAGTGAGGTAAGACATAGAATCTACTTGGTACCCAGATTGTTCTCCAAAGTCATTGCTTCTGCAAGAAGTTATTGGCTATGATGAGCAGAGTTGCTGACCACATGACCCAGTTGGGTTTGCTCCAACTTGATCTCTGAGTCTTAGAGCTTGGGTTCTTTCCCTGTTCATCATTTCCTTGCTGTCTTCTTGGGATTTTCATGGGGCTCTCAGGTGTCTGGCCCCAGACATGACCCGTTGACCCATGCTGGTGATACCTTAGATACCGCAGTTGGCCAAATAATGTCCCTCAACCTAATGCCACATCCTAAAGTCCAGTAATTGTGAATATGTGACCTTACATAGCAAGGGACGTTGCAGGTGTGATTAGGTTATGGATTCTGAGATGTGGAGATTCCCCTGGATTATCCAGTTGGACCCAGTGTCATCACAGGAGTCCTTATAAGGGAAAGTGGGAGCAGGAAGGATAGAATCTGGCAGATGACAAGATACTACCTACTGGCTTTGAAGGTGGAGAAAGGGGCCACAAGCCTAGGAATGCAAACTGGAATAGGATAGGAAATAGAACCTGCTTTAGAGCCCCAAAGGGACTGTATCCCTGCTGAGAGTGACATCCAATTCCGAAGTCTGACCTCCAAAGTATTAGAGGATGCTTTTACATGGCTCCAAGCTAGAGTCTGTCGTAATTTGTCTCAGCTACCCTTTGCCTTGGTGGAAAGGTTAGCAGTGATGTGAATTGAGGCCCCTTCCTGGAGCCCTGGCCAGAGTGGTTGGGAAGGATGACACCGGGGAGTGAGGGGAAATCTTGAAGTGAGCCTGGAGCTGCCCTGGCCATTCTGTGATGGCACCTAAAGGGAACACAGCTGTGGGAAAGCAGAGATAGGACACAGGATGAAAAGTTTATAGTATCATTGGAACAGGACATCAACCTGCCCTGTGCTACCGAGCCTGTGAGCCAATGACTCCTTTCTTTTCTGAATGAGCTGAATTAGGTTTCTGGCACTTCCAACTGAGACAGATTTATCTTGCTCCCTAGCTCTAATAGGATTGCCTATTAGGATTTGGTTGGTTTCATTGTCCAGAAAGACATTGGAAATTAAAGACCTACGATCATCCTCTGAAAATGCTCTTGTGGAGGCCCCTCAAGGTGGATTAGGTCCAAGGCTTTTACTTCTAAACTAGGAGTGGGAATGATCAGCATTCATTCAGCAAATGTTTATCAAAAGCTACCCAAGGATCAGGCACTGCCTAGGTTGGCACCCAGTGAGCTGCTGATTTACCCAGGGAGTCAATGTTGAAACAACATACTTTAAAAATTTTCAGTATGACCAGTGCTATCATGTTAATGTGTGCCATGGAAAATTCCCAGAGGAGATGTCACCTGGTTAGAGCAGGTAAGGGACATGTTGCTTATGTGGTGCCCTGGACAATGAGCAGACTTCATTTGATTTTTGCTTGATTGAATAAAATTTTAATTTTCAAGATGTACATTTGATTGGACCTGTTGGAGCATCTCCTCCTGCAGTTTCTGGTGTAGATTAGTGAGCTCTGTGGTTGGAGGGCTGTTTGGTGGGGGACTCTTCTACTGAGGGTTCCCCACCTGCTTCCTTGGCCAGGGAGCCATGATTATAAGCTTAGCTAACAGGGGTCTTATATGGGTTGTTATATTTGGCCTTGTCAAAAGAGATGAGGCTGTGGAGCATGTCTGAACTCTGCCTTTGACCAGTTCTCCCTTCTGGAAAAAA